GACTCTTAATCTATCACGAGTGAAACCATTGTGTTCTGATACTCATTTTTATATTTCCTTAAATAGTGTTAGAGGTCCGAATAAAGTGGATTCGTTGTATAAAAGTATGCACATTTCAGTCCGATGGTCGCTGACATCGCAGTCAGGATTGGCACAATTGTTCGCACTATTCCGGTTAGTAGGGTTGCCACTTTTTAATGAGTGATCTATTATTACCCAATGTTATAAAATAATTTGGAGTGGGTCACATCACTATTAGTGACATCTGAATGTCTATAAATGTTCTCCCAGACAACTTTACTACTCGCATTATAAAGCCGTATTTATATGATTAAAATTTAATTTCAAAATTACGAGTACTTTGTATGTAAATAGGTATTGTGGTAGTACGTCTCTGGACGAAATCTTTCACAAAGTATTGAACATAACAAAATTAAGAAAATATTAAACTGCCTAACTGCCTGTGTCTTCGGGGGCTTGTCGATCAGACGTCGACAAACGCCCGATGGCGACTGATGGTGCAGCGAGTGGCGCGGCGTATTTTTAAACCGCTGGGCAGTTTGCAAATTTTGGGATAAATGTGAAATTAATAACTAATAGGGTTCCAGTTGAATTTAGCAGGTTCTCTATAGTGCTTAAAGAGATATATGAACATAACTAGATACTCCATTCTTAAATAACTCGTTTTAGTCTTTTGTTTTAGCTTGTTTTCAGGATATTATTCGATCCGATAAAGTACATCGTATCACGGAACACATTAGCACATTCTTTAGACAATATACTTAGATATATCGTACATTCTTTGTAAGATCGCTATTTAATAGTAAAAACTAGACCATTCGATGTGGCAAGGTGAGGCGATACTTCACACCGGGACAGTTGCTTCAGCTGTACCAAGCACAAGTCCGGTCGCGTATGGAGTACTGCTGCCACTTATGGGATGGCTCTGCTAAATACCAGCTGACCACCTTGGATTCAATAGACAAGCGTGCTAAGAGGCTTATAGGTGACTCGGAACTAGTAGAGGCCAAGCTGCAGTGCCTTGAACACCGCCGTAGAGTTGCTAGTTTATCGGTATTCTACAGGATATATCAGGGAGAGTGTGCGATGGAATTGCATAATTTGATTCCGTCTTCCCCTTTCCATCATCGGGAGACTAGACGTGGTGCTTCTTCTCCAATGACGCCCCTTAAATAGGCAAATTTTACTTCAAAACGTTACTTTCATTAAACACCGCCACTCATTCGTAAGGCTATTTCACCTGAGAACAAAGAGCAAGGAATTCGCAAAATTCCTCTTTGTAAATAGACTTCATTCACGTTTATCATTTATAATATTTATCTCAAATATTACAGATAAAAACAAACGGAAAGAGCTAAACGGGTCACTGCCCTGGTTGTTTGTCATCTAAGGACACAGAAGCTGTTATAGATAAGAACCTTATGCCTTTACTATAAGGTTTTTGTTTCAATATAAATTAATTAAATTTAACGGAGAACAAGATCAATCGATTACAATGCTTAATAATATTCAAAAATGTATTGAAATGAAATATAAACATACGTTTGTTTTCAAAGACATTGCGAGATATATTTTTAGTAGTGTTGGTGTGTTTCTCTACTCGTTTCCTGCCTATAGTAAGCTTCTATGCAACACGGCGCGAAATGAATGACTTTATTATATATCTGGTAAAAATATTCGTATATTGTATGGAACGTCTGTTACAGTAGGAGTTTGCCGTGTGAGTGACTCGATACAATTCAAAATTCAAAAATTACAAAAAAAAACGTTATACGACCTCATTTATCGATGTAGTGAATACTTTCCAGTAGATGTCATCACCGTATACGCGTTAACAAGTAGCAGTAGAGGTCCTTGTGAAAAAGTAAGCTCAGCGCAGTACTGTCACCGTACCCATTTCTGACACCAAGCAGTAATGTGAGCAATACTGCGTCCAGGTTGTGAAGGGTGTTGGTGAAATTATAGGCACATGGGAATTTTCAACTTACGTCTCAGGGCGACGTATGCAGTGCTTAGCACCGCTTACCACCAGGTGCAACATTGTATGTCCCGTCACATCGTATCGTAAAAAAAAGGTTCTCCCAACGGAGTAACGTATCTCAAATGTTCCAAATCATACATACTACACAATATTTGAAAAATTGCCAACCCTGCTAAGCCGGCCGTTTGCTGACGTCATCGCATTCTTTCGCCATTAGGCTTCCGCTACTCCAACCGTTTTCACTTCAGAAGTATAAAAAGATACCTTATCACTGTTGTTTCAAGGATTTTTCGAGTGAATTTACGAATATTACTTTAAAACTTCTCCAAGAATAGATGAGGAAACTTCGTTTTTCAATCAAGATAAGCGATGTTTAGGGAAGTACGGAGTTGTCTATACCAAAATACAGCTATTGAAAGTTGTAAGATATTTGTAAGTAGTAGCTACCCTGGTCAAACTGCTTGTTTTAGGTAAACCATAAACTCAGTTTTTTATTTCATTTTTATTTTTTTTGTTCAGGAAAAAGCACAAATTACACTTAATAAAAGGAAAACACAAACAATAGGTACTGCGTATTTCTATAGGAAATTTATTCCTACAGGCCTAATTACAGGACAAAATGACTACAATATCTTACAAGCACAAAAAACAAAATTTATAACTACATAATGTAATATTAATATATATAATATATGTAGGTGTCATATCGATTTCTTGCTTCACCGGAAAGTTTTTGGTAAATTTGAAATCAAATTTCGCACATAAATTCCGAGAAACTCAGAGCCCGGATTCAAACCCTACAGCTTCTGCTTGGGGTAGGTCAAACAGTGATGCGACAGTAATTACTTTTACTATGAAAAAACTTCCTGTTTTTCTTTTACGTGCCAAACAAAGGTCGTTTTCTAATGTTTCATAAAACTTTTCAAGGTTTTTTTTAATATTTTTAACGGATAAAGTTTGGAAATTTTATTGTTGCTGTGTAGTGTTATAGATTCGCAATGTTATATTTTAGTATGGTCCAAAAATATCGCTTTAAGAGAAATTATAGACTGAAGTTGAAGACGTAAGTGTCACTTGTCCGGTGTACAATAATTTGTTTTTTACCCAGTTGCGTTAGAATGAGGTACAAAAATTATAAAACATACGTTATTAGTTTATCCCCTCCCGTAATGCTAATACAATTTGTGTCGTCCAAAAATATCACTTTGTGAGAAATTATGGATTGAAGACGTAAGTGTCATTAGTAGGGTGTACAATAATTTGTTTTTATCGGGTGTCAACTACATATTTTCTGTAGTTAAGTGAACAACTTCCTAAGTATATCAATGATTATAATTAATAATTTTATTCACTTAAGCAGGTAGCTGCTGAACATACCACATCACAGGTATATAGTGCGTCTACTTTGCACAAACAAAACTTATAGTTTAAAGATCTTGTATATCTCTTTTCTGTTATTTTTTATGCAGTTCAGTTTTTTTAAATAACTGTTTTTTCTTTCCAAATTTTTTTTGCAGTCGAGTTATTTTATGTTCAATGGATTGATTTTTAACATAATACCCCATCAGCATATTTCGAAAATTCCGTCCACATTTTAATGAAACTTAACGTATGGTATAGTTGCTATAAGAAATAAATATATACTTTTTAGTATGATATCAAGGGACGGCACGAGCAAGTCGTGCGACTGATGGTAAACGACACGCCTATTCATGACAGTTTCAGTGCCAATTAGAGCTTTAATCACAAAGATCTGAGGGGAACTGCCGCTGCGCCTGTCACTCTGAGACATAAGTTGGCATTTTTTCAATGAAATTGGTGTCAAATATCGTCAAAGTCAAAAATCTTGTTGAAATTATCCCGTCTGAAGCGCGAAATAACTATTACGTAAACTGCCACTCCTCCCGCACCGCGCCTCAGGAACCGACTAGGTTAAAAGTCGATAATACCTCAGCTCGGTTTTAATTTAAACGGTTTATTTTGCTTACGTCGAGCGGCAGTTACAAACTATATTAAACTATCTGAAAAATATTTATCGTTTGTTATACGTGTTCTACGTAGTTCAGTTGATATAAAAACATATATGTGAAGTACCTATTGAATACAGAGGTTTTTTGTTTGTTTTTTTTCTATTGTGAAATAGGAATCGTGTTATCACACCGTATATATAGCAATCAGTGGACATACTAAATTTTACTATATATTTTTTCCAATGTGTTAGATTCAACACTTTCACTGTTAGGCGGCATCAATCAAAGCCATTTGAGGTTGTATTGACTCTAGAGCGGTAGGCGTGTAGTAGGTTTATTTCAGGAACCTAATTTCTATTTGAGATTTGGTGCTACAGTCGCATGTTGCGCATTGGTTGGACACTGAAGGACGCGAACGAAACTGTGCTTCAGCGTGTTCATATGTCCCGGAAAATGAAGCCATCTATCAAAAGGCGCAAAATAGAGTATCTTAGGAACAATAGATACACGCTGCTATAGCTAATAATAATGGGCAAGGTGCAGGGAAAGAGACGTGCTGGGCGAAGAAAGAAATCGTGGCTGCGGAACATCTGGGAGGGGACGTATTCAGTCGAACAGCTATTTCGGTTGGCTGCTGTTAGAGACGAATACAGGAAGCTGACGGCCAACCTTCAGCATTGAAGAGGCACTCTAAGAAGAAAAAGAATGTCTATTTAAGCCGGCGGCGGTATTTTTGCGATTCAATACTAAAGATTTGTATACGTTTGCGTAGAAACAAAACTCAAGCATAAAACTATTTGTTTTTCCCATGACTCATGCATTGGAACGTCTGACATTTTTGACTGGTGTATCATCTTTATCTAGGAAAAGTTTTTCCCATTTCCTAACTCTGCGATGATATCTCGACTCTGACTTGTTATGATTGGAATCGGAGACACTTCCTGTTTTTAGAGTCGATAACTTAGTAAAGTATTTCATGGTTCGTAATTTATTTTTGCACTCACGGAATTTTTTGCGGCGTTACTCACCTCTGGAATCTGAAACAGAAAGACGGTTATTTGTTAATATTACAAACAGATGATGGACAAATGAAGTAAATGGACAAGCGAAATGGTGACCAAGAAGTATTTATAGAAATATAATTATGCTTGCTTTTCATGAATAGTGACCCAATCCAAAATTGATCCTTATTTTTGCGTGATTAATACAAAGAAATGCTCAATATTATAGTAAATTAATCCAGAGTTTTTCTTTGGTTAAAATAATCATCACGTTATCTCGGCATGGTCTATGATACTAAGTGAAGGGACGAAGTCGTGCGCTTGGCATTAAGTGACACGCCTGTCCATAACAGTTGTAGTGCCACTTCTTCAGTTCAGTTGTAGTGCCAGAGCTTTAAATCTCAAAGATCTGAGGGTTATTGCCACTGCGCCCGACACCCTGAGACAAGTATTGAGCCCTATGTGTTTGTAATTTCAACAACACCCCTACCCTTTGAAACCGGAACGCAGTAATGCTCACACTACTGCTTGGCGGCATGAATATGTAAGGTGGCAGTACTTCCTACGACGTACTCTTTCAGAAGGAGCTAGTAGAGCTACTACAATTTTTCAGGCTTTCGTGTAATAAAAGCACTTTTGAGGTACGATCACATGTGACTTTATTATTAAATTATTATATAGGTAAATGTATAAGTTCAGATAACACGTTTGCAGGTAAGGAATTCGACTCCATTGGACCGTTAAAACTGTGATTCTAAACACATTGTTCGGCAAAATGAGTTTAGAATTAAAGTTTTAACGCTCCACGTGCATATGTACACTTTTTTTAATAGTATTAAGGACTATCCACACAAATCAGGGCCGTGCCCGGAACGTGGACGGGGAGTTTGTATCAACTGTGGGCCCGTCCCGGCGCCGGTCCGGACACGGACATGTCTGAACGTGTTCATACAAAATATACGCAACGGTATTTTTTTGAGCCCTTGAGCACGACCCGTCTACTACGTCCCGGGCACGGCCCGGATATGTTCTGGATAGACCATTAGGACGCATTTCTTCGACACGAATTTCATCGCGCTCATCCCGCGCGGCCGCAGCGACCGCATGAATTTAACTGTCATGGCAAAACACGCTCTATTTATTTAGCTTTTACGTTTTAACTTAAATAAGCGTCTCGGGCACGCGTGCGGATCTGCCTTGATTTTGGTCTACGCAGCGGCCCGCACGGCGACCGCGCGGTTGTATTATTCAGAGGAATTTAAATGTTGTTGTCTAGTAAATAGAATTCAGATTCGCCATTCATGTACTTGAAAACTTTGACCGCGCGAAAACTTTGTCCTCGTGTAACTGAGCATCCCAGTTCAGAGTACTAAAAAAACGACCTCAAAAGTTCGTGGAATCACATCTATTTGCTTAGTTTTATTGAAATCAATTACCGGAAAGTGCACGAAACCGGATTCATCCCCTAGTTTACCCCCCTTAGAATCTTCAAATTTAAATGGGACCACTACCACTGCTAGTGGAAAGAGGGTAAATTCCAACCGAAAAAGAATCAAAATCGTTTCACAAAACCGGAGTTATCGCGTAACATACATTAAAAAATGCAGTCGAATCAAGAACTTCCTCCTTTTTTGAAGTCGGTTAAAAATGTCACATGCGTCCTTTCAACTAACAGCCGCAGAACTGCGCTTCTAAATATTGTACGAAAAAAGTGCTTCTTGAAGCACCTAATGGCGCAGACCACCTTTCTTCGCAAACATGCAGTCTAGAACTGCATAGAATTGTCACTGCACCTATCATCAGACGGTTGAAACCTCAATCAATCACTAGAAGTGATGACGTCCCATTACTGCCCCTGAATTTAGATAGGCTATAAACTTGTCAATCTTGATTGTACATCATGATAAATGGGTCTTGGGTGCAGTCAAATGCCCATATGTGGGAGTATTGAGAGGCTATGCGCTCAGATTCTAGACCAAATGAGATTTTAATTTGTTATAATTCAGACTAACTGGGTGATAAATCTGTCATAGATTTCTCATAGATGGCGATACGACTAAAAAGTCGTTGAAAGACCAAGTACAAAGACACGACGCAAGCACATAGAAAAATTCGTGAGGTCCGTTGGTTCGTTCCGTGGCTTAGTTGGTATAGCGTCTGGCACGGTATGCAAGAAGACGTCGGTTCGAATCCGACCGGATCGAAGGAATTTTTTCTGAGTGTTTTTTCTGAGTGTTCGATCTTTGTATTAATAATTATAACAAGCTAGTGGAGTAATTTCACAAAAAATAATTGAATATCAATTAAATAAAAATTTTATTGAGATTTTAATTATTATTATTTATTTGAATTTAAGAAAAGGGGGTACAATATATTTAAATAAACATAGTCCTACAAAACTGTACATACAGTTTGACTGCAGGATCGAAATGAGTCTCAATTAAGCAAAAAGTCACAAACTGACACTAATGTTGTTAAAAATACTTAAACAATATAATTAATAACTATTCAACTATAATTTGTAAAATAATGCTCTTACAACATTTTTTAGTTTCATGTCTAATAACCTCTGGCAAGCTGTTTAATATGTACGGAATACGTTTCTTTAAGGTCCTATCTCCATAGTAGTTAGTTACTCTTGGGATTACAAATTTACCAGAGGTCATCGACCTAGTACTATATTTGTTACCATTAATGTCATTGTTTCTTATTCTTATCGACTTTAACTTTTCAAACGGAGCGAGCGAAGTTTTCTTGATATCCACTGATATTGCACAATTCCAGAAAGGAACGAATCGACCGTTATCAACCGATGTGCATGAAATTTGAAACTGGCTTTTAAAATACAATTTTAAATTTTTTTCGCATTGGGTCGCACAAGTCCTGTGCCTGGTGGTATGCGACGCGTCTATTCATTCAGAGCTTTAAATCACAAAGATCTTATGGGCACTGCCAATGCGCCTGTCACCCTGAGATATAAGTTGTCAAGTCCTATGTGCCTGTAATTTCACCACAACCTTTACCCTTCTAAACAGGGATAGCAATAATGCTCTCATTACTGCTTGGCGGCAGAAATAGGTAAGGTGGCAGTATTTCCCTGGACGAACTCTTTCACAAGGAGCTCTACTGCTACTTACAAGTGCTGCCGAAGTCCAAATTTGAATGAATGAATAAAATATAAGTCTATTGTACATAAAATTAAAGTAAATTAAGTGTAAACACACTAAGTTAATGTGCAACAGGCGGTATTATCACTACAAAAATTTAAAAAATAAAATTGTATAGTTATTATTATTAATTCGCGCACACTCACAAACACTCGCGTAGACACACACACGCACGCACGCACGTACGCTCGCACGCACGCACGCACGCACGCACGCACGCACGCACACACAAACGCACACTCTGGTATTTCTTGCCCTTCTGCCATTTTTAATATTTGTTATTATTATTTAAATATGTCATATTTCTTTTCCAACATAATTTAATAATATAGTAATATAAGTCCTTATGCCAAAACTTTCTGTACTGAGCCTAAGCTTAGCCAGTGTGGTTATCTGTGTTGTTATGTATCACAATATCTTGTTTTGGACAGTTCAATAAATGTTTTTGTATTTTTTTTGTATGTAGACATTTCGTCCAGGCAACCTTAGAATAAAAGTTATGGATATGCAAAACAACCAAAGAATAAATTCATAAACACACTTCATAATACGTGCGAATAAACTATAAATAATAACGTATACACGCGTTCACTGCCTCCGTGGCCTAACGGTCACCACGTTGGTCCGCCTCTCAGAGGTCCCGAGGCAAATATTAATATAGCCTACATTTATTTCTCTCATGAGTTTGGGTGTAATTTGTGGTTGTCTATGTGTATGTCCATGGCACCTACGACACAGGGTCTCCCTAGTGCAGGGCTAGTTATATGCTGAACGTTTAGGTTTTCGCAATTGTTTACATTCTGTACCATCCTGTTTAGAATCTAGTATTTTCTCTGATGAAAAATCCCAAGAAGACATAAGACTGCAGTACTATTTAATATGTTTTAATTTAATACAATTTCCATTATTTATTACAAACTATAATAAGAAATTTAATGAAATAAAAATTCATAAACGCATTTCTAAAGCAACTGTGTAGCGTAAATTGGAATGTTCTTTAAAAATTAAAAATAAGATATTAAATTAATAACTTTCGTAACTGTAGCTAACCTACAGTTAGGTTAGCTATAGTTGTAGTAGTTGATGACTTTACCACCTCAGTCAGCCATAACCATGGGACATGTAAAGGGCTCAAAACGTAGAATTGAAAAATTGAAAAACTTGAAATAAAAACAAACACACGGGTGTCAGATCCGGAAATTATAGTCTCAAAGTTCCATGGTTTTGGCCTGTATAGCCAAATAGGCTCTCAAATCCATTACCTATTCAGTTTATACTTGCCAGTTTTCGTCGGATACCTCGTTTGACAAAATCTAAAGGAAATTCAGAGCGCATTTAATGCTCTGAAAGCCTTCATATGTCACAGTTCACAGCTCAACATAAAGACTAAATGCCTCCCTGTTATTGATTTTCCACTTAGTTTATGACAGATGTCTGTCCGGACATTGAAAATTGAACTGTGTTTCGGTCCTATTTTCGTGAAATAGAGAAAAAATAATTTTATCGACCACTCAACATTGTTAGAGAATAATCTCAGTACAGAGTACTAAAAAAACCGACCACAAAAGTACATGGAATTGCATATAATTACCAAGGTTTATTGAAATCGGTTACCTGAAAGTGCGCAAACCCGGATTCATCCCCTAGTTCGCCATTATACGGGACTTGACACAGGAGATAATAAAAATCAGTTCTCATTACTCAAAGCATATTGAGAGAGAAAAACAGCTTGAATTGGAGAATAGCAAAATCAACCTTTAAAATAATTGCTCATTACAATAAAATTTACTCGTAAAATTTACAATAAAATTACAATAATATTTATAAAAAAATTCACTTCAAAAAGATTCACTTCATGCGTGAACAGCC